AGCTGTACCATTGCTCTAAACAAGGATAATAAATCTAAAGTTCTAAATTTAGCTTTACTCGTTCGATCATAGAATACATATAGATGCAATCATTGTGAAAAATAATTTTTTTTCATCTTTGACATGTATGTGTTGATGATATAATTAATATCTGGCATTGCAAAAATTTTTCAATTGATTTTGCAAGGTCTCAAACTTTCATATTTGCACCTACTATTTTATGCCAATTTTTGCTAAATATAGAAACAGGGCTGTTACTAAAAATAGAAACACGTGGCACACTTTTCAAATTTAAATTTTAGATCCTCAGACAACCTAGACCTTAAAAATATATGATAAAATGAAAAGTTTTGTAGACCCTCCTGGACGATTTTTCAGATTTTGCATGTTTTTCTCTGAGACACGCTCTTAAGATGAACAGTACAAACCCTTAAAACTCCATAATATTGCCAAATGTTTTGTTAAAGATACTATTTTTGATTTCTGTTATGCAGACTCAACCTTCACTTCCGGTTATGGTATGAAAATCTTTCAACTGTTAAATTACCGATTTTTACCAATTTGAAGTTATCCATCATTTCAAGATTTAAAATTTTTTACCTTACATAATTATTTCACCCTAAAGTAGGGTGTTGCGTTTCTTTTGCGTGTCAGTATACAATACGTTGGAATAATTATATCTTAATAAGGATAAAAGACAAGGAACTTAGTAGAACATTTGCTAGACCAAGTATTGTACATGTATCTTTGTTTGTAAATATTTTTCTGATATTTTGGAATCCTGTATAGTGAGGGTAGATCAAACTTACCTTGATTGACTGGAATGTTAAAAATATGAAACAAACACTAAAATATGATTTTAAAGAATTTCATCCTTGGAACGTGAACTGCAAGTATATATGTAGGATTTCCAGATTTGGAATAACAAGTACTTCCAAAATACAACCCCATGACCTTCGATTTAGTAAAAAAAGAATGAAATAGATGGATTGCATTGAGTAAATAATACCATAGTCTGCAATATATGTATGTTGTTTAATGCTTTTTCGAGAATTTTCACTCTTATGGAGATGCCACCAAATGTTATCCAATGTTCGGCATGGTTAGAGCGTCTGCTCTCGAGTCGCGAAGTAAATAGTCCATCCTTACGTCTAGGGTTCGAATCCCACTGAGGGATGTGGAGACCGGTCCTTCGGATGAGACCGTATAAACCGAGGTTGCAGGAGTTGCTGGCACTAAAAATATCCCTCCTGTTTAATGGCCATGAGTGCCAAGTGTAGGGCAATATTTGTAGCTCTCCACCGGCAAGTGGTAGTATATGAGTGAAAAATTCTCGGGAGGGATGTTAAACAGCAATAGAATCGATCAATTATTTTTACCACTTTTGATTACAATACACCTTTTTATTTTATGTAATTTATACAATTTATCTTATTTTTAACACGATCGAAGTATTGCCCTTGTCGGTTCCCAGAAAAGGTTTCAGATATGCTTGTGTAAAAAGAACGACAACTCAGAAAAATTCATATAAACAACTACAATGTATTTCTGAGAAATGATAATTTTAAAATCGGTTTAAATTCTTAAATAATAAAGAAAGGCTGAATAAGTTACTCAAATTTGACTACATGGATATTGCATTGGTCTGAAATTGTACACAGCTGACACCATATAAACGCCTATTTTTTTCTTGTCACCAAAACAAAAAACTCCCCTTTTCTTAAAGGTTAAATATGACAGTGATTAAAAAAAAACAAAAGACATTTATTCAGCGCACATCTTGACTAGTTTAAACCATTGAACAATTAGTCTAATGCCCAGGTACAAATCAAAAGTAGATCTATCTACTTGTCTTTACTTAGATAGATAAGTACACTCTCATTTGTAGCTATCACCATGAGGACTAAACAATGATGCCTTTCAGGTTCATTTTAATTATTTTATTTCTTTATTTTTATGCACCTTTTCAATAGATCGAGGGTGCATTTTGTTTTTGTCCTGTTTGTCTATTTGTCTGTCAGTTGTCAACTTTCACCTTCGCCAAAACTTTTGAACCATGAAATAAAAAGACGATCTAATGGATATGATTTCTCCACTTATTAAGCTCTTTCAAGTGACACCAAGGTCAATGACCTTGTGACCTTTACTGTGACCTATATGCTAAAAATAGTTTTTCGAACCTTCGTTATAAATTTTGAATCATAGAAGAAAGAGACTTTATATTTGGTATGCAAACTCCACTATTAACTAAGTTCTTTCAAATGGCACCAAGGTCAATGACCTTGAATGTGACTATATGTGCTAAAAATAGTCTTTTTAAACTTTCGCCATAACTTTTAAACCTTAAGGTTCATCGATACTCTGATAAGAGAGATAACTCTAAATGACAAAAATGTCTATTATTCCTTTATAGATTTGCCAAGTTGAATTGTCTTTTTTGTGGAATTTCTCTCCGCAAGCTATGTTATAATTGTTTGTATTTTACTTATAAAATACATTTCTTTGGGAAAATCATTAAGGTTCAAGCAAATTTTATAAGAGTGAGCAGAGAGTTAATAAATCTTAAGAGATAGAGACTTCTTTTTTGGTATACATACTCCACTAATTAAGTTCTTTCAAATGACACCAAGGCCAATGACCTTGTGACCTTGACTAAAAATAATTTTTCGAACTTTTTTGCCGCTGGTTACAGAGTGTTTCACAAACACATCTTTTTTTCTTTTTTTTTTTGCTGAAATTGGCTCAAGGATTTATAAGAAAAAGATAGTTTTTTAACATGTATATATTAATTGATTAAAAATAAAAATAATTATGTTAAAATTATTTTTTTTTTAAAAACTTCCATTACAATTGACTGATGGGCATAAACAACGGGCGAAACAGAAGGTAATTCAGGTGACCCGAGAATCTATGACTAAACCAAATTCTTCTTTACATTAATTTGCATAAAGGCCTATTAGATATAAGGATGAACTGATAAAATATTTTTTTATAATGTAACTCTTCCAAAAACTTTGAAAATTGACAAAATATTACAAGTGGGTTCACCTTTTTTATTTAATTCAAAGAATTTAACAAACTTCAAACAAGAAGTCTGAAATTAGACAGAAGCTATACTGAATTTATGGAGGTTTTAGAGAAAAAAAATAGCTAGATGCACTTCACCTCCCCCCTTTTTTAATTTCAAATAATTATACAGATAAACGATATAAGACCTGTTTTCAGTGAAAGATTCAGATCAAAATTGTAATAAGAGTATTAGATCATAGTGTTTAGCAAAGGCCCTGCATAAGGCTTTCATGGGTGCATGGACTTTGCACAAAAGTATAATTATTCACTTCTTCCAATACATAGGCATCGGAAGCAAACTGAAAGGGGGAGGGCTAATTGAAAGTGGGGGAGCTAACCCATCAAAAAAAAGGTAAACCCCAATTTTTCAATGCCTATATTATCTATATATTTGCCAAAAAAGTGCTAAGCCCCCCACCCCTCCCCACGATTCAGACGCTTATGAGATACATTGAACAAATGAACAATTTTTTTTTAAAAGAGTAACATAGTCTATACATGTTAGAAAGAAAGATTTTATTTTCACAGAATATGCAGATACTTAACTTAAAAGAATTACAAAAAAACATTTTACTATAAAGTAATTAATAACAATAATCATATCCTAGCAACTAATTAATTGGACGGAATAAAGAAATAACAATGAGTCTTTTGGATTTCGTACATATTGTTAACCTGCTCATCAAGAGGATTAAAAATTGAGGTCACAGCTAATGCATGTAAAATGTACATAATGAAATTCTATTTTATCCTACAAATAAATGTCTAAAAATGCAAGTTTTCAAAAGGTATTAGGATCTGATTATTACTAAAGTCAGGATTTCAACTCATTCCAGCTAAATGACAAATACACATATATGGTCATAATAACAAGTTAAACACTATTGACCTATTCAGCGTAAATTAAAAAAAATCTTTACTTGAATAAAACAGATTTAAAATGAAGGAATTAAAACAGGTCATAATATCATAATAATATTATCAACCTGAAGGAAATTTAATTGAAAACAATAAAAATAAAATCTCAAATTAAAACACTGGGATATTAAAAATCATACCAATTTTTATCTGTATAACAATGGCAAGTATTATATATTAACATGTATGTAAAATAGTAAGCACTGTGCAGTAATATCACATGTTACAGCTAATTCTTTTAAAATATGTCATGCTTAAACATTAAATATTTGGAAAACTGGGCACATGAGTCAAAATATGCATATGTAGTCTGGTCATCTTTATACCTGATGAAATAATTTACTTTTTACAACATTAAAAATACACATTCATCAAAGCTAAAGAAAATATTAAGCACTCTGTTATGTACATAGTAGAATGGTTAGTCATTTAAATCTTGTTTTCAAAGTTGTACAATATTTTAGAACCTTTTTTTGATAAATAGTTACCTCAACATGAATTGCTTTAACAGAATAGTGAAACTGAATCAAAGTTTCAAACTATACCAAGCAATCAAATACCGGGTAAATTTTTATCACAGAAATAACATTTATTGTAATAACAGTGCATTGATACATGTAACTCAGTTTGAATGCTGTTAGTACAAATTAAAATGAGGTAGACTCTACTCTAAATAATAAATATGAGAAGTATTTACAACATGAAAATATTTAACTCAGTAAAATCTATTTGTGAGGACTAAAAAGCATAGAAATTATGGCAGCCCCAAACAATGACATGAAACAACAATTCTGAAAAATATACTATATTATGATCCAAAAATAAATACACAGGGAAGATAAATTATTGTCAATGTCAAATTGACACTTAAATTAAATTAAACACACAAACCTGACAACAGTCCATATTTGTCACCATATATTAAAATTAAAGTAATAAATAAATGTTACTAAATTCAATTATCAAATTTTCTTCAAAGAGAAAATAACAATGAATTCATGCATATATACCAGGTATACATGTTAGTACTTAATTGACACTAGTAAGATAGGATTATTACTAATCAAGATCAAAGAGAAAAACTTTCAATAACAACAGAGATGATATACAGGAATCAGAACTATAAAGACATCTAACAATTTGTGCTTTATATTTGTTTAGTTTGATATAATCTCTCTTATGAGTGACCTTTCTCTCGTTTCTAACTTTTTAATTTCAGCTTCAAAAATTCTAGGAGAACCTGCAAAAAAAAAATAATTAAGTTAAATGATAATTTTCTTCTGTGAACTAATATTTAATTGTTCAATCTGGAATTTTTTTTACAGAATGCAAGTTCTATGCCTAACTTTACCTGAATCACAGACTTTCTGTAACTTCTTGAGGAACTCTCCAAATGCCTGAGTTAATGCTGACTGATCCTGCAAAAGGGGAACAGTTTTTAGGAAAGAAACTAATATTCATTTTTTAAAATTCTACTCATCACTTGCCAACATATACCCAGAAGTTGGGTTTTTTTGTATTTGACTGTTTAATCATTCAAGTACACAGAATTCTGATATCATTACCTCATTCTCTTCATCATCCCAGCTATCCCAGTCTGAACTCTCTGAGTCCTTGTCACTTGGAGACTTGGCACCATTCTTGTCACTGCTCTGGCTCAAAGCACTTATACGACCTGACTGTATGCTGCTGCTACTCAAATTTAGAGTAAGGGATTCTGGGAAATGACTTGGACTTCCTGTATAAACAGATATGCTCCTTATAAATTTCATCAAATTATTGTTATGGATAGTAAATGAGATCCCCCGAAAAATCAATCTACTCTTTAAATAACATTCATTTGAAGAATTGCATTTTATATATTAAAAAAATGAAACAGCAAATCAAGTTGTTTTGCAAATGTCTTTGCCTCTATGAATCTTTGCGAGTCAAAACAGTGAAAATTGCTAAAAGATAAAGTAACAATGGTTTGTTCTTTATTTTCTTATTGGTAGCACATGATGCTGTTAAAAGATTCTTTTTACCACTAACTCACAAGTATGAAAACGAAATACTTAGCAGGCATTTGATCCACAGCATTAAATTCAAGTCCTTTTGATTTACAATGACCTGCAGAATAAAACTTACCTATGATGACTGTGTCTTCTTCATCTAGATCATTGAGAGACTCTGAGCTGTTTGTTTCTGTGAGAGGAATGTCATTGGACAGCAGGCAGAGATCATCATTTGGTCGCGGGGAATGCTCCACACTGAAGTGTATACCCTGCTCAGGAAAAGTTATACTCCTTTATTTTCTTTGCTAATGTCTTCAATGCTAGACCAAGGTTATCAGTACAGAAAAAAAACAAGAGGCCCATGGGCCACATCGCTCACCTGAGTAACTTGGGTGATGCAGTTCTTATCAGATTTCCCCTCTTGCTATACCTATCATGCCCCACTACCCCCTTCCCTTTTATGATTTTAAGAATTTAATATCTAAACTACCCCAGGATGCTTCCACATAAGTTTCAGCTTTCCTGGCCCAGTGGTTCTTGAGAAGAAGATTTTTAAAGATTTGTTCTATATATTTCTATGTAAAACTTGGATTCCCTATTGTGGCCCCGCCCTATCCCCGGGGGTCATGATTTTAACAATTTGATATCTACACTACCCAAGGATGCTTCCACATAAGTTTCAGCTTTCCTGGCCCAGTGGTTCTTGAGAAGAAGATTTTTAAAGATTTGTTCTATATATTTCTATGTAAAACTTGGATTCCCTATTGTGGCCCCGCCCTTCCCCCGGGGGTCAGGATTTTAACAATTTAATATCTACACTACCCAAGGATGCTTCCACATAAGTTTCAGCTTCCCTGGCCCAGTGGTTCTTGAGAAGAAGATTTTTAAAGATTTGTTCTATATATTTCTATGTAAAACTTGGATTCCCTATTGTGGCCCGCCCTAACCCCAAGGTTAATGATTTTAATAATTTGAAATCAACATGGCCCCTACATGCTTCCACATAAGTTTCAGTTTCCCTGGCCCAGTGGTTCTTGAGAAGAAGATTTTTAAAGATTTGTTCTATATATTTCTATGTAAAATTTGGATTCCCTCTTGTGGCCCCGCCCTACCCCCGGGGGTCATGATTTTTACAATTTAATATCTACACTACCCAAGGATGCTTCCACATAAGTTTCAGCTTTCCTGGCCTAGTGGTTCTTGAGATGAAGATTTTTAAAGATTTGTTCTATATATTTCTATGTAAAACTTGGATTCCCTATTGTGGCCCCGCCCTTCCCCCGAGGGTCATGATTTTAACAATATAATATCTACACTACCCCAGGATGCTTCCATATAAGTTTCAGCTTTCCTGGCCCAGTGGTTCTTGAGAAGAAGATTTTTTAGTGACCCCACCCTATTTTTGTCTTTTCTTGATTATATCCCCTTGTAAAGGGACTTGGCCCTTCATTTTAAGAATTTAAACTCCCCTTCAACCAAGGATGCTTTGTACCAAGTTTGGTTAAAATTGGCCCATTGGTTCTTGAGAAGAAGTCGAAAATGTGAAAAGTTTACAGACGGACAGACGGACGACGGACAAAATGTGATCAGAAAAGCTCACTTGAGCCTTCGGCTCAGGTGAGCTAATAAAAATGGGTCTGAGGGGTATGACATTTTACTTTTGGATGTAAATGTAGGTAATTGTGGACTTACCTCACTGACTCTGGAACATATAGCCAACAAAATAGACTTCAGATGCTTAACAGGGTTGAGTGGTTTACATAGAATCAAGTAAATGTTCAGGATCTTCTGAAGCAAATGAACCTCAGCACTCTGCAAGTAAACACAAACATGGACAATACTATCATATCACATGCTTAAAGAGAAAATAATTACATACACAGAAAAGAGCATTAAAAATTGTGGACTTCCATTAAAATTTTTTATAAAATTTGTCAAGTTTGATAGTCTTAGATCTCATTCTGCAAAGAAAGCCTAGACATAAAAAAGTTTTTAAAAAATGGGCAAAAACAGACAGGTCTGTAACATGATATAGCACATCAAAAGACACCTGTATAATGAAAGAAAAAGGGGTATGTCTTTTAACCACAAGGAACCACAAGGAACCACAAGGAACCCCAAGGAACCACAAGGAACCCCAAGGACACCACAGGAACCACAAGGACATCTTATTTAATTATTATGAGTCTAATTGTGGTTTATATGTGCATTTTTTAGTCATATGAGTCACACAGGTGACCTATTTCAATATGTTATTGTCCGACGTTGTGCTTCCTGCCCATCTGTTTCCTAATCTTTTGAACCATTTCAGCTTCTTTTTAGCTCTACTGGTCAGAGACCAGAAGAGCTTATGCGATAATAAGGTATCCATCGTCCGTCCGTCCGTCTGTCTAGCTGTCTGTCTGTCGAGCTGTCCGTCTGTTTGTCTGTAAACAATTTTTCAAAACGCTACTCCTCCTACAGTTTTGGTCTGATTTCAATATAACTTGGCACACAAGTAGACTACATTAAGATACTTAAAATAGTGTATCGGTTTTTGATTTCGATGAACGGTGTTGCCATTGTTACTAAAAATAGAATTTTCTATGACATTCCTTTAAAACGCTACTCCTCCTACAGTTTTGATCTGATTACAATATAACTTGGCACACAAGTAAATCTGCAATTCTATTTCACAATATAATCAAAGGTAGTGGGAACATGGGATAATTTATGCATAACTAGACTGTTATTCCTTAAATTAGAAATCTCACAATGAGATTTAAAGTATGATGTGTATATGAAAATAATGTTTCATGTTATACCTATCTAAATCTGATTAGAAAACATAATGAAGCATTTCTTTGTGCTTGTATATAATATATGCATCTATCAAGAAGAGCTATTTTTCCATTATTGCCCTTGAAAATATTTTAAGTGAAACAAAATATTAATAAAATGTTTAATAAACAATTCTGCATCTGAAATTTCTGAAACAATTAATTACTTAATTAACGAGGCCCAATCTAGTTGGAAATTTCGAAAACGGATCAAATGATAAAAAATTTGAATTCTTGGAAATATATTTGTATGTATTATGCTAAGAAAAATTAGAATGAAATTTTGTTACATTGCCTTTATTGTATCATTAAGAGATAGAAATGTCTCAATTTTCACAGTTTAAAGGAACTTACCCGTAGACACGTAGAAATTGGCTTCAATTATGGGGTAGTGTCATGTTCTACCGTTATGTAAAGAAAGTACAAATACGTGCGTTTGATATCCTGCATTTAGATAAAATGTGCAGCTAATACATGTGTATATTAATTTTGAAATTAGATACACTGGGTACATATTGATGTACAGTTTTATTGTACTACATACATGTTAACAACTCAGAAATTCATTGTATAATGGTGATAAGTTATAACGTACTAGATTAAATATTGTAAACTAGTCAGTGAAAGAGAAACAGTGAAAATGATATAAAAAAAATTAATGATTAAATGAATATTCACCTATTGTTCAACTAAAGCATCTGACTATTTGACCTAGCTGTCCGAGTAAAATTGACATCCCTAGAATAAATGTTTTAGGTAAACTACTATTATACTGTGGATCTATAATTAATAAAAATATTGGCAATATATATATAGAAAGTAAAAAAAAGATTCATTTGAGTTGACTATAAAAATGGCCTTCATTTTAAAACTCTGACATTCTGACAAGAAAATCCATTGAATCTCATGGAAAAATGTCTTCATACATGCAGACTGTTATCTCTCTCATCAGAGGGATATTGTACCTTAATTGTTGCAAAGAATAATAACTTGTGCAATCTAATCTTGATGTATAATTTCTAATATTAAGGTTACTTCATGACTCTAATATTTCTAGGGATTATCTACCATAACACTTATATTTAATGTCAGACTAGTTTTAGCCATTGTTCATTAAATAACTGACAAACCAACATGCTGACCTACCTTCCCTCCAAAGTATAATTTTAAGTTTCAATGAATTAAATACAATATAAAATTAATCAATTATACAGTATGGAGTTTTTATAATTTGTTTTAACCTAATTCATTTGAAAAGTAAGGCTAGCCAACAAGACAATAAATGCCAAAGTTAGACTTCCTGTATAATGCAACGTGTATACGGATTTTTGACATCTTGAGTATTAGGGGTCTCCAGGTAAATAACATTAGTACTACTAGGACCATTCCCCCTTCTCAGGTATAACATTGTAAAGGTGTACTAATGAAAAAGTTTTTTCTTTTCTGCATTATTTATGGTATCTTCCCTATTTTCCACAGGAAATAATATTATCAAACAAATGCCCTTGTCAAATTTCAAATTGTATTAATTATTTCAAAGCTCAATGATGCTCAATTACACACACCCTTACCTATGCTTTACTATGGGCAGAGGGGTGTTTTCTTTAATTTTTGGGGCACTTAAAAGTTAAGACTCAATTTGGAAAAGGGCTACCTCCCCTGCTTCTATAGAACACAATGGGTTGACCCATTACTGGTCTGAATGTTCACCTGTAATAACCCCATGTACCTGTATATTGGAGGTATACAACCCCTGTATATTTGGGGTAGCTCTTGAACTGGGATATCTCCCTTGGGTGTGGAGAACACAATATACTGAGTCAGTACTGGGGTGCGGTGTTTACCTAAATGACACCTACATTGCCCTGTTTATTGGAGGTAAACACTGTCTTGGTTAATTTTGGGTAGCTCTTAACTAGGATTAAGCAGAGCATTTTTAATTGATACCAGAATGTTTTTTCAACTGCAAGAACAAAGCACAATTACTTCCCCCCTTTTAAATAAGTTTTCTTTTAAATTTTATCCTTTTTAATTTTAACAATTGAGCTCCCTATCCATCACTTATTTTTGTGATCATGAAGGTACGTAACATTTGAGCTTTTAACACAATTCATTTTATTAAAATCTCAACTAAATTATAATCGAAATACAAAAATAAAATAAGTAAAATACTTGTATGTACAAGATTAATTAAATATATAAATTAATCAAATACATTGATTAAATAAATTATTTTATTAGTGTTGAAATTAACAATGAATATAATAATTAGCAAAATTGAAAAAAAAACACCAAAAATTCATATGTGGTATATATTGATTGTCTTTTTTAATAATTCTTAACATTAAAGAAATAACATGACATTTTATAATTATTCTTGCCCTCTTCTTATGATTATACTGTAATTAAAAGAAATCACCCCTTCTCTTTTAAATGGGAGGTCAACATTACAACTAAATCATCAAAAATTTCAACTCATTACCGCAACATTTTTTTCCAATTTTTGACTAATCATTACCGCTATATTTTTTTTTTTGGCCGAAAACAACTCATTACTGCAGCTGCTACATAATCATAATTCATATTGAATTAGCCAGGTATGGTACGGAATACGAGTTCCAATCAACAGAATTCACTCAATGTGTAGTGAAGTACAATAATTTTTTTTCATTTTGAATTCTAAACAGAAGAAGGAGAAGACTGTGAGTTTTAATTATAGACAGAGCTTGACTTAATTTTTAAAATTTTAAAAGTGTTTTATAAAATAAAATAAATTTCAAATTAAAAAAAAAACAAAAAACAAAAATAAAATCCAGCTCAAATACCTATTTTCACCTCCCCGTGGTGGAGCAGGAAACAGGACTTATACTTTTTTATGTTGTACTTTAAATCAATCTGTACATACATACCGGTAAGTTGATGGCTAACAAATAATAACTAAATCCCCTAAACCTTTAAGGAATGAAATGCATGATCATGGATTAACTAATAGGTAGTCTGCATGGATATTGAATCAGCAACCACCCCATAAAATTATTTCATTTATCATATACAGTTAATTCTCGATAAACCGCCACCTTTTGTAATTTAGAAATCATGGCGGTATAACGAATTTGGCGATGAATTGAATTTCTCATCTTTTAGAAAACAAGAAGTCGAGTTATATTGTTCTTAGAAATACCATTTAGCGTTTCTATTCTTAATATTACATGTACATGTATATAAAAACATATTTCTGATTGAAAATACTTCAAGTAATTTTTTTAATGTACAATTTCGCTAAAACAAAATGTGCAGTTATGAAATAAAGACAAATATTTGTATATGAATGTAAATCTGCACGTTCGATATTGAAAAAAAAACATACTGGGTCGATCGTCGTGATATATTGTCGATAATAAGTAAAATGAATCCTTGAATATGTTCATCGTTTATGGTATCGTTGTTGATGGAACGTTCACAATTTATACCGTATAATTATTTTTTCCAGCAAACTTTGCACTGTTTAAAGCAGAGATCATCAAAATAATATCGTTATCGGCGTACTTTAACAACGACCGCTTTCATGGCGAAACCATGAATATTCTAATAATTGCATCAATGTTGATGGTTTTGGTCCCACACCTAAGGCCATAGGGGTAAGAGATTTCGAAATCTGAAAATTTTGCTCCCCTTTACTTGTAGATGCTTTGTGCCAAAATTGGTTGAAATTGGATAAACTGTTCAAAAAAAGAAGCTGAAATATGGTTCAAAAGACCAAAACTGTAGGAGTAGCATTTTAAACGAATTTCACAGAAAATTCTATTTTTAGTAACCATGGCAACAACATTCATCAAAATCAAAAGCCGATGCACCGTTTTATGTATCATAGTGTAGTCTACTTGTGTGCCAAGTTATATTGAAATCAGATCAAAACTGTAGGAGGAGTAGCGTTTTAAAAGAATTTCACAGAAAATTCTATTTTTAGTAACCATGGCAACACCGTTCATCGAAATCAAAAACCGATAAACTATTTTAAGTATCTTAATGTAGTCTACTTGTGAGCCAAGTTATATTGAAATCAGACCAAAACTGTAGGAGGAGTAGCGTTTTGAAAAATTGTTTACAGACAGACAGACGGACAGCTAGACAGACAGACAGCTAGACAGACGGACGGACGATGGATACCTTATTATCGCATAAGCTCTTCTGGTCTCTGACCAGTAGAGCTAAAAAGAAGCTGAAATGGTTCAAAAGATTAGGAAACAGATGGGCAGGAAGCACAACGTCGGACAATAACATATTGAAATAGGTCACCTGTGTGACTCATATGACTAAAAAATGCACATATAAACCACAATTAGACTCATAATAATTAAATAAGATGTCCTTGTGGTTCCTGTGGTGTCCTTGGGGTTCCTTTTGGTGTCCTTGTGGTTCCTTGGGGTTCCTTGTGGTTCCTTGTGGTTAAAAGACATACCCAAGAAAAAGTGAGCAAGCTCACATACCCCATGCTCCCCCAAAACTCAAAGTGGTGAAAATCCCGGAAAAAATGAAAGAATCGGAATTTCCCGGTAATATGCACATCTACACATAGTGTTCTCAATATCTGCAAAGTTTGATGAAATTCTGTGCAGCGGTTTATGAGGAGTTGTGCTGACAAACTGTTCATCACTATATTCAAGATATCCCCAAAAATCTAAGTTGTAAAGAGCCGAAATTCCAAGAAAAATAAAGGATTCGGAATTTCCTGGTAAAATGCACATCTATACATTGTGTCCTAAATATCTGCTAAGTCTGACGAAATTCTGTGCAGCAGTTTATGAGGGGTCGCACTGACAAAATGTTCATCTGTATATTCAAGGTATGGCCAAAAATCTAATTTGAAAAGTGCCAAAATTCCCAGAAAAATAAAGGATTCGGAATTTCATGGTAATATGCACATCTACACACTGTGTCCTAAATATCTGCAAAGTTTCACGAAATTCTGTGCAGCGGTTTATGAGGAGTTGCGCTGACAAAATCTTCATCTCTATATTCAAGGTATGGCCAAAAATCTAAGTTGAAAAGTGTGGAAATTCTAAGAAAAAATAAAGGAATCGGAATTTCCTGGTAATATGCACATCTACATATTGTGTCCTAAATATCTGCAAAGTTTAACGAAATTTTGTGCATCGGTTTATGAGGAGTTGCGCTGACAAACTGTTCATCTCTATATTCAAGGTATGGCCAAATGCCTAAGTTAAAAAGTGTGGAAATTCCCAGAAAAAATAATGGAATCGGAATTTCATGGTAATATGCACATCTACACATTGTGTCCTAAATACCTGCAAAGTTTGACGAAATTCTGTGCAGCGGTTTATGAGGAGTTGCGCTGACAAAAAAAAGGACAGACTGACTGACTGACACTCTGACGGACGGGTCAAAAACATTATACCTCACGCAACTAGTTGTGTGGGGTATAAAAACATGATAGACTAGGTTGGATGGCAAAATATATATATCTGATAATTCAGCACGTCTTTAATCCCTACCTTCATGGTGACAATGGCCGCCAGTTCTTTCAGAGTCAGATGTAGACACATGAGACAGGTCTGTTTGTCCTCCCTGGCCTGGGACACAAATTCCACCACCCTCACGCCTACACTCTGTAAACTGGGGAAACAGTGGAGGAAATGGTTAATATCCTTAATGCTTAATTGTTTTGTACATGTATCTCTATAAATCTCACTAACATAGAATCAGTTATCACAATTGTTTTGACTCAAAACTGAATTTTTTTTTATTTCAAAGCTAAATGATATTTGCACATGTAGTTGATTATATTGTTAAGGTCTTCCGTCTTCAGCGGAAGACCTTCTTGTTATTCTTAGGTTTCTTTTTCACTTTTATTATTATTATTCTTTTTTTTCTTACCGATTTTGTGCACACGATTTCTTGAAAACGGCTCAATGGATTTCCATGAAACTTTCAGGACTTGTGTAACATTACTTGAACCTTATGCATTTTTTTCTGATTTGATGACGTCACTTCCGGTTTGGAGATATTGTCGATTTTATGATTTTTGAAGGGTCATGTTGTCTCCAGACTTTCTCAATAATGGCTTAAGATAGAAACATGAAACTTTCAGGTATGATAGACCAAAGTCTATAGATATGTATAACGTCTTTCATTTTTATCGGAAGTGCCGCACGTCGGCGCTCACTATGGCCCGAAAATAGTCGTATCGCGAACTTCAAAATTTTTAACACCTTTTCAACGATATCTTTTTACCTGGAAATATTTTGTTAAAACATATAGAACAAAAGAAGTGTAGAATTCTAAGATCTTTCAAATTGTATCTTGTAAAAAGGGCTGGCCCCTTAAATTAAGGGCCTAGAGGGGCCGAAAATTTTTCCTTTATATCTCAAAAAGTATTGAGAATTTGTAATACATCAAAGAAGCAAAGTTGTTTGAAATGTCAAGCTTAATCTGATGGAGTCGTCAAAATACGTCCGTCGTCGTCACTTCCGGCCAAACCGGAAGTAGTCGAAAACGCGTATTTTTGCCGTTTTTAAGAAGTTTTGAGGTAAAATATGTCTCTGGGAGCATGAAAATTAATTTTCCGTCCGTTGTCGTCACTTCCGGTCAAACCGGAAGTAGCAAAAAATTGCTTATTTTTTTCATTAATTAACATAGCTTTAGAGGATTCAAAGCATTTTTGGGCGTTATTTCTCATTTTTGTTGAAAATGAAAGCTACTTCCAGTCAAACAGGACGGAAGACCTACTCGTTGCTTTGCAACGAGCTTTGCTCTAGTTTTTATTATCTTTCAGTGCACTTACCATTCTCTCATGTGCCTACAAATTGAAGTGTCTTCTACAAAGAGCCCAGAATAGTGGGCAATAATGGGCATCAGTGAACAAATGCTCTCCACAGGTAACTTCTGAAGGAATCTTTGTAAAGTTTGATGTGATTCACTGACAAACACTTTCTCAACCTGCCAAAGTATCAACATTTTATATTTTTTCCTCTAAGGATATAAGATATATTTAATATTCATCAAGTTCTTAAAAAAAACTTATTTCAGGCAGGCTTGGGGTCAATTACTTTGAAATGTAATTAATTACTTTCAAATACATTGATAATTTTGTCAATTACTTGCAATTACAATTACATTGATTTTCTCAAATGTAATTAATTACTTTCAATTACTTTGACAAATGTAATTAAATACATTTCAATTACTTGAGTTTTCTTTTAAAAAAAAGAAGATTTTTTTGTAAAAATAAGATTTTTTCTATAGTGAATTTTTATTCGGTGTTTTTGTTCTTGGATATGACAGGGGTTCACACCTGGACCAATTTAGACCTTTACCTATAATGACTTGGGTGGGTGATACACTGTATAAACAAATTGAATTAAAGACTATGAGACATTTAATTATTGTACAAACAGAAGCCCATGCTACACCAGCATGGTGTATGACAAGAAGTTTGTCACTTTCTTGAATCCATATTTTTGAATAAAATAAATTGATGTTTCTAACAAATCTTTTCAGTATTTTCTATTTTAAAATGTATAGAATACATGCACATGTAAATCTTAAAGGGGATTTAGTTAGTCTATAATTACTGTAAAAACAAATTAACTATCTAAATCACTATTGTTACTTGCAAGTGGGAATAGGTAGAATTAAGATTTTTAAAAAGTGGGAATAGGTAGTATATATCCACCAGTGTAAAAACTGTGTCCCAGTACATAAACTTTTTATAAACTTTTATTTTGAAAAAAGTAATTGAAATGTAATTGAAAAGTAATTGAAAATACATGATCTTTTTTGAAATGTATTTAAACTTTCAATTACTTGTAATTGAAAGCTCACTCAAATACAAATTACTTCCAATTACTTTGAAAAATGTAATTAATTACACTCAATTACAATTACTTTATTCAATTATCCCATCCCTGATTTCAGGAACATTAAAGACTCTGGAAAAGTGTTATGGTCAGATCCTTATATGGTATCTTGATTTAGGGTAGAGCAGGCTTTATTCAATTTTACCTGTTTGGCACATTGAAACTTGTTCTCTGGTTTGACCAAACAACAACTGAAAGATAAACAACAAAATGTTATAAATTTATATCTATAAATCTTTCCAAAAATCAATGAAAAGTAAATTTTCTAACTAAATATACCTCAAGTATCCTTCAAAAGGAGAAGAGAAGAGCCTGATGTCTGTGCCTTGCTGTAGGAGTTCTTTGGTGATCCTGGTGTTGGGGTGGGTAAACCCAAACAGGAGCTTCCAGTACGACAAAACGGAGGCAATCTGACTTACTCTCTGGAAGACATAAATTACAAAACTTCAATTAAACTATTAATCTTTATTTTTTTAAATAAAAAGTACTGGTATTGATTTTCAAAAAAATCAACTTTATAAGAAGAAGAAAAACACATTTCAGAATGTTGAATTTGTTAAAAATATTTTATGGATTACATATACAGAAAATAAGCACATTTTATCCATCCCCCTCAACCCATTTTTTCTAAAACAAATCCTAAAAATCAAAAACAAATTATATAAATTGATTCACCTGGTCAGAGGGGATATCAAACTGAGCATGGGCCAGAATGATGGTGGTGGAAGCTATGACGGAGAGTCGATCATATCGGGATCGCTGTACCAGTTTGTCTAGGCTGGGGAGACAGGAGGGGACCTGACCCGTAACACTGGACACTATCCCCTGTATGATCTCCCTACACGAATCCTCATGCTAGGAAAAGAAAAGATAACCTCAGATATATTAAGAACGTGTGTATGTTGTAAAAGATATAAAAGCGTATGAATGATATATTTTCTATGAAACTACTTACAAGTACATCTAGAATGTAAATAGAAGTAGGACTAGTCACCAAACCTAGGCATTTTTTTCAAACTCCAAAATTTGAATTATAAGATACTTAAGAGGAAGATTTTAATGACTTTGGAAGTCTTGCAGGATCATGGTAAAAAAACCTGATTACAATAGAATAAATTCAAATACCTACACTGTGATCAATTTCGTGCAGTAAAACATAACTTAGTCTATAATTTTCTGATTTCCTCATTTGACACCATACCTGCCAGGTGGAGGGTGGTCTCTGTAGGAGCGGGGTCAGACGGATACAATGGAGTATAGACTCCTGTAGCAGCATGACTGCAGCATAGGTCAGCAGACTGGGAGTAGAGGACAGGTGGGTCTGCCAGATCTCCTCCAGTATGCTTATGTCACACCACCTGATCACTTCAGCCAGACACGGCAACACCTACCATTTTAGGAAAAACATTTATTTATGGCTAATAGTAGTATGTCTAAAATCTTTGACCTGTGAGGGAGCAAAATTTGTTGTGAGTATAACCCTTTTATTTGACCTGGGCTACAACTATACCTGTTTTGTGATTCGCCTAAGCTCCCATTGTGAATCTGCCAGGCTCTCTATGGTCTGCAGAAGAATTCTGGTGAGAGTGTGCTTCAGGGGAGTTAACTGTACCCTGACCATCCAATCCTCCTCTGTGGTGGTCCTTAAAATTAGACAATGTTATGAACATATTACAACTGTAAATACATTGTATATGGAAAGGGGGACAGATAAGTTTCTATATTCTTATTTATGTTTCCCCCTTCAAAAATGCCTTGCAGCCCCTGCAGGTTTATTTCAATTTAAAAATAGACAAGTATTTAACATTACAATTAAAAAGAATAGGTGTTGATCATTTTAAAAATCAAATACAAAACTTGAACTGAAGCAACTACAACTTACTTGTTACCAAGGGTTTCCACTAGATTTTGGTAGAAAGTGTCGTTCTTTAGCTGTTGACTGACATGTGGATGCTGAAAAAAAGGAATTGATAAGTAGTTTATTTGAATTTTTTAACAAAAATTTTCTTTTAATAGTACAATGTACTATGTTTCATAGGTTCTGTCCTGTGAAGATCATACCTTGTTGTTGGCTAAATCTATACTCTGTAATTGAGTTAAGATAGATAGGGGGGTGTATCGTGAGATTCTTCCTCCTCCGTGGTCCCCATTCCTAAAAATTAAAAATTAAGTTAACCCATGAACATGTGAATAAAATTAACAGTTACCACAGTAACTCAAAAATGATCCATAAATTTCCTCATAACAGCTTTCCAGTATATGTAGTTAACATTACTAGTTAAGGCCAAAAAAAATTAATAAATTGTTTCTCAGGCCAAAAAAATCTAAATTCAATGCGGCAAGCAGGCAGGCTTTTTTTTTTTTTTTTGAAGCAGGATGTAGTCTACACCTTTTTTTTAAAGTCATTTGTTCAATAAAATGATGATATCTACTAACTCTTAAGTTTTGTTCTCTGAAATTAGTTATAATATATATTCAACTTTATATAATGTTATTCCAAACATTTATTTAAAAGTTAACTTATAAAATACTGTAGATTTAGAAGAAAGATATAGTTTTTCTAATAAAAATGTCCATCTTAGCATTTATGAAAAGGGCAATAACTCAATTTTCTTTTTCAACTTGGAAAAATAGAAAATTGGGTTATTTCCCTTTTCAATATGTCAATAAAATTGATCAATGCGGCCGTTTTTGAACTGATGCGGCGGTGCCTGAGAAACAATTTATTAATTTTTTTTGGCCTAAATCTTACATTTTCTCGTAGCCCAGGACCTTCAGTCCTCCTTCACTCTTGAATTGCACCTGTGGATGAGTAAGAAAGATGATGATGTCATTAAATTCATCAGAATATATTTCACTGCAAATACTACAATATTCTTACAATACAAAAAGTGACCACTCAGTAGTGTAAATGCAAAGTTTGCAAAAATTAGCATATATATTGTACAGTATTCAAATATATACTTAATTTTTTAAACGGACAGGAACTCTAAGCCTAAATTTTGACAATTCAATAAGGCTACATGAATAAAATGATGGACATTTTTAAAAAAATCCATGATCATCTAATTGCAGATTAACAGTAGTTCAAACATACATGCCAAATCACAGCAAAATTAAATCAGTAAATGCATGCTTAGTACTCATATTTAATACCATCATCATTTACATAAGCATCAAACTGTTAATAAAATGATCAATAAATGTGCTATAGTACATGTACAATTAAAAATTTTTAAAAGTCCTTCAGACTTATTAAAACATTATAAATTTTAAGTTAATTTTTTGAGATAATTGTCGTAAGTTTATTTCTGATGTTTGCAGATATTAATCCTTTATCCATGAATTTATGTGTGGTTAGGTTGTTCCTCAATTCTTCATGCAAAAAATCTATTTTAAAATTCTTTTCCCTTCCTTTTGGGAATTGACTTCTGCAACAAAGTCATGCATGCAACTCATTTCTGTATGTAACAATAAAATCTATATTTAACTGAAGCATGCTCATTTTCATTCTTTGCCATCCTGTGAAAAGGTGCAATTAGCCTATTCATTAAGGGTAGAAAGGTGTAAACAGATAAGAGCATGTATGTTTGAAAATCTTTTGATACAACATGTAGTTCTCACAATATCTTCATGCAGTAAATAAACAAAATTTCTAATGTGCAAGACTTGGCAAGAAAGTTTCTTTAACGAGAAGTAGGATCCTTAAAACAGATTCCTCCGACATACATGTCAATGTTCATTGATTTCACTTACTGGTCTGCTCTCTCTCTCTCTCTCTCTCTCTCTCTCTCTCTCTCTCTCTCTCAAATTGGTTTTCTTTTTTTGTTAAAATGTGACAAAGCAAGGATATAGAACAAAAAAAAAGGCAGGAGTTAACTGCATCTAAAATTCTACAAAAATTAAAAGTCAATGCAAAAAATTATCTGGCTATATACAGGTAAACGTGTAATGTATTCTACCTTCCTGTACAGCATTCTCTTCATTTGCTGATAATATACAACTCACATTATACACTGTACACTAAGTCTACCACCCAGTGAAAAACTATGAATGAGTATATAAATACATACATGTATATGTATTTTACACTCTATTAGTCTATCCAAACTGGCAATATGTGGCAACTATAATTCTATAAAATTAATGTAGTTCTCATTTTGTATAAAATGTCAAAAAGTCTAAAAACTAAATATATTGAATATTTATCTAAATCCTGTCAATTTTTAAAATTTCAAACACATTAATGTTGCTAAAAGTCAGATAATAATAAAACAAATGCAAACAAGCAGGTTAATTAGTAAAAATTGTAATAGATATGATTAATAACTGAAAAATGGCAAGCATATCACTGTCCCTAAAATATTCTTCTGTATATATTTTGGTACCATTTAGGAGAAGGATGTTTTAGGGATTATAGATAGAACCAAAATAAAATGGAAAGAATCAGATGAAATCGTAACTTACTGGTAAGGATTGCTCTGAGGTAGAATCATGGAACACAGAGTGTACTTTCTCAAACTCAGCTGCCTGTAAACATGGTAAAGCAAACTGTAACAGAAATAATGTATTCTGAATCACATAAAATACCCAGTACATGCGCCTGAGCTTTTTCTTTTTTAACTCAAATCAAGTATAAATGTCAATGTCACAAAATTGTAATTTGTTTAATATAGCTTCAAAATGCCAAGGCATAAACACTTACACAAGATACACTGTGAGTTCTCTCGTGTTCTTTAACTCTCTCCTCTGGAATATTATCTTCATCATCTGACAGCCTTCAAAGATAAAAAATCATATATTTTAAAAATATAAATGTATTTTTTAAGGTAAATACATTTATCATTTATAGTAAGATCCCATTCTTTCTTGCAATAAAATTTCAAAAGCATTCAATGTTTTGATATTGTACCATATTCATTGGTTTAAGAACAACATTAAAAATTTAAAAATTCAGTAATTAACTAATTATTATTTTATCTCATACTGTTCAACATCAGTGTTTTGTCTCCTGAGCTGTGAAGATGCCGCAGGACCAAACGTATAGAGCCAGTGATTCTTAATGAAGAACTTCATGATGAGCTCATACGCTAGTAATCTCCCTTCCCTACTCTCCCAGGCATCCAGCAAGAATCCTACTCCCAAACGAACAAAAAAAAATTTTCATGTTATCAATCTTTTTTTTACATAAGAGTCAATTACTTTACCAGGTATGTATGGGATCTTTATTTGAAAAGTGAAAAAAAATATCATTTACAGTAAAAGGTTTCTATAACAAAGTGTCAGAGACAAATGATTTTGCTTCATATTAGATGTAATTCGTTATATTTCATTGAAATTCACAATATATTTTAAAGCCACTGAGAAAGGAAATCACCTCCCTATAAGCATCAATTTCTCATAAGCATGTTTTACTTATTCTACGAGCCTTGTCTTACCCTTCTCGCTATTGACAGATGCCCTGATATGACTAGAACAGCCTTGGTCTGTTGTTTTTTCCTCCCTCTGTAATATGTCTGTGTTGGGGATCCAGCCCTGAATGAGAGACTGCAGAAGTAGACTGACCAGAACCGCACAATGGCTGCATTTAGACACTGAAAATAAAACACAGAAATTAAACATGAAATATTTACACAAATAAGGGATCCATTTATGGTTATAGCTGATAGTAAAAAGTACAAGTATTTTATATATAAATCATCTTTCCATTGTGACCTATTTCTTACATGAGTTTGTCAGTTGAACACAGATGAAGGAAAGATGGTACATAATATTCTTCGTTATGATAATGCATTTTTTGCAACAACATATTGCAACCAAACAGTTATCCAAATACTGAATTAATACAGAGACATACCTAGGTATTTAAATAAGGAGCTGGCAGCTTGTCGGACTGTAGAGGCAGGATGAGACAGATACAGTAAGAAAGCGTTGATGTAGGTCGGCCAGTTAGACAACATCATTTGTAGAGGCAACACCTGTTGAAATATCAAAATTAAAAATTCATACAAAACCTTTGGCAGTTACTGATTTAAAGTATGGATTTAATATAATCTTTAGAAACCTATAGTACATGTACCTTGATGATGGACAAGCACACATTCAGTAGACCTTCAGCTGCATAGGCATCAAGGAATTTTACAGGCAAGTTCTACAAAGTAAAGAAGAAAACATACCATACTTAGTCATTAACTGATATTAATACACCTGTATATACTGTGTTTACGATACTCTCTTCAGTTTTACTTTTTTTCAAAACCATTTTTTAATAAGGCTTACAATTGATTGCACAGGGCTGAGAATATTTTCTGAAAGTTGCTCTGTAACTTGCTCAAAAGTTGAAAAAGCTTCCTGAAAAAAAAGAGAAAATATAAAGTTTATTCAGCAGAAATACAAATCCAAAGACTGAGTTTATATCAGAATCACATAATGGAAAAATGCTGTGTTAAATGAACTTTAATAAAGCCTGCTATACCTTGACATCACAACAAGATATGTAAGTGGACAATGCTTTGGCCGCATGTTCTCGAATGGTCAGTTGTGGATGATACAATAACTTAAACACAACAGTGTGAATCTCCTCTGATATAAAATTTGGCACAGGTGGGATATCCTGGATTTCAATAGGATATATATTAATTCAATAGCTCTAAAATTTCAATATTTTAACATTTATACCATTTATAATAGGTGAAATTTAAAAGTTAAGGTCTACATTTTGGCTAAAATGTTTGAAGTTACCCTCATATGCATTTGCAGTGAAAAAAGTGATATTTTATGATTTGCCAAATCTAAGACATAATATAGTTTTTAACATGTATTGGTTTCAGACAAATAAGCATTTAATACATATTGATAGCATACCAGTGACTGAATGTTCAGGCAAAACTGTGGAGTGGTGGATCTAGATTCTGCTTTCTCTGTGTATTGTTGGACAATAGAATTGATACCTGCAGTACATTTAACAAAAATCTAAACTATAAAACACCACAGAGGGAATTCTTGTAAATAATACAGTTATACAATAAATAATTTATATTTTATTTCATACAATAATCTTAATTATCTTTTATTAAAAAACTTAAAAAGTAATTGAAACATTTAATAACTTCATTCCTATGAACTTCATCTAATGATCTTACCCATTATAGCACCTTCAACAGTCTGCCATTGGGAAGTTTCAGAGACACAGAGCTGAAGAGATAAAACTCATATTAAATTCATGGGGTAAATGACTAACATTAAATCCATGTGGTAAATGACTCACATTACATTCATGTGGTATAGAACTCACATTACATTCATGTGGGATCGACATCATATCACATACAAATGGGATGAAACTTATGTTACATTCATATAACACGCACATTAAGAGTTCCCTTTACTTAAATATGACTTCTCTGAAAATATAAATAGTAACCTTTACAAGCTCCTGAAAAATTTTCTCTTGGTCAACAAGGGGAAGATATGCTACAATTGGCCCTAAAGTTTTGGCACAGGAATTTCGTATTGCTGACCAAACATCTGTTAATGCTGATATGATTAGCCTCTAAAAATAAACATTTAAAAAATCAATTAAGTCTGGTCATATTTTAATGTAATAGCATGATTATAACATTGATTACATTGGTGATATTATTTCATAATCTTTTTTTTTTCATTTTTCCCAAATATATCCTTTAAGTATCAATGCATTATTTCATTTCAGTGTCTTGTTGCACTTTTTTTTTTTTTGTTTAATAAAAATCCCATTAAAAGTGGAAACAAATGATAACAAATTATTAATCATTATCAAAAATATGTGAACAGAAAATTTAACATCACATAAATATACTGGTAATAGGTATAAATTATCAGCATTTCAGAAGACAAGTACATAATATACAAATTATCAAACCTGTATCAAAGGAATATGCTCAAAATCCTGAAGTTCCTCTTTATGTTCTTTTAGCCAAGCCATAAAATGAATAATTGTTCTATTTCGGACAACGTGTACATCAGAAACTGAAACACAAATCAGTAAAAATATTATGGCCATATTTAAGAAAAGCATAAACTGCTTCAACCCAGGTTATACCGGTACATGTACAAGTATAACTTGAGTAGCTATTAATTTCATTCCTTATTATTTAATTTTATATCATTAAGTGTGCAAAATGACAATTATTTCCCTTCAAAAATGTCTATAAAATGGACATATTTTAAATGTAATGTGTGGATTGAAAGGTTTTCTGCTTACCCTGCTTCATTGTGTACTCAAATGCCTGGACCAACTGTACAGAGAGTGGCTGCTGATTATACCTGTAAAGAATAAATAAAGATTTACCTAATAACTAATTCAATGCAACATGCTTCTAGTTAAAATCTATGCTTATTATAAGCAGTGTTTTCCCTTTGAACAAACTATCAGCCAAATTGATCGCTTCAATTGACAAAAATGCTGTGTTGAAATTTAAAAAATCTAAATTTAATTATTGTAAGGTCCATTGATATCTCAGCCCATGGCCTGTTACAACTGATCTCTAACCCTGAACTCTGAAATAACGGGAAAACACTGCTTATTTCCTAAATACATGTATATATTCTTCACCTCTTGCTTACCATTTAATGATATTATCAAGGAGATCATTTAGCACTGCTTTCACATGTCCATCACTGGCCTCCAGTGTTGTCCCAGTGCTGGACATCTTTCTGACCCGTCTCGTCCCATCTATCCCTGCTTCTGACCATCCATACCTTCTATCAAACACATAACAAGTTAACTTATTGAGGACATCATCATTGGAAATAAGGGCCACTAGCTGAGACTCATGGTTCGAGGAAGACATTTCTCCATACACATGGTGATTTCCATCCCCCTTCTGGAACCCCTTCCCTGTGTCATCAAGGTTGGACAGATGCTTGTGGATGGATTTCAGCATGAGTTGTTCCTCTGTAGAGGATTTGGCTGATAATAATGCAGTGGCACTGCTGAAAAGTCCATCAGCACCTGATGTCATATTTGATTTGAGATGATCATCCTTATATCTCTGCAGGATATAATAAACAAATGTATCAGTAAATAACAATCTCATCTTTTTTTTAGTCTGCTATACTCAATATGCAGTCTCCAAAGAAAATGTTGGATACACTAAATTCTTATTTGAATAATCAAACACAACTGATTTACTAATTACATGTAGTCACTAATTATGCTAAATGGTAATTAGACTTTGCAAATGCACTTCAGGTTAGAACATGCTCATAGTATTAAATATTAAACTCCCTGCTGAGATATCAAAACTTATCATTGGGATTGAATGTGTGAAACACATATTATTTACCTATTTCTGTGTTTATCTTAAATTAAAGTCACAACTTTTTGTTTTAATGGACTGATATATTATTGTTTAGGTTTTCCTCTTTGGTTTTAAAATTTGAGTAATGAATCCACATAAAATTAAAATAAAGCACAATTCTAAGATGATCTTTAGTGTTTTCAAGTTATATGATTGTTCTTGTAAAAAGTTCAGTCATACAATGAACTCGTGAATTTAAGGAATTTTAAAAATGAGTACGACACAGCAAATAACAGTGAAAATATTACCCAAGATTCCTCCGAGAAAATTCGGTAAAATATTAGGTTGTTATAGACGCTTTCAATCCTTGTGCAAGATTGAGACGCAATTGTTTTGATGCCTTTTGGCAATTTTTACAATCACTAACATGTAAATGCAACTTAAATGTCAAAACATTTTCCCAAAGCATTGCAGGTCTGATCGAAGTGATAGCCGATATTTACGTTCCGAACCCCTTTCGAAAATATGCAGGCTCCATTTTGTGACGTCAGTCAGGAATGTCGATCCCGACTTTTTATCTCGAGCAATAACTTCACACGGGGGTGCTGTAAAAAATATAAAGCCTTGATCAGATTAATTTCAAATTAATTTTTATGCCTCTGTTATTGAAAAAAATTGGGGTATATAGTTTCAGCCCTGTCCGTCAAAAAAACAAACAAAAAAAAAAACAATTCCAATTCCCAAAGCCTTATAAATTTAATAAGTTGTATCTTTTTTAAGGGTCATAATGTTTTAAATACCAAATTTGAAAACAGAATTTTTATTTATAGTATTACATTTTTTGATGAAGAAAATGTTAGAAGAAAGATAACTCCTCTTTATGGAATGCCATATACGACAGCCAACTGCTTACTGCCAACTGCTGACTGCTTACTGCCAACTGCCACACATATTTGAATAAATTTTATATTTGTATTGATATTTAATTATATGAGTTTTCACAAAAAAAGGGGGAAAAAGGCACGGATCCAGGACATTTTTTACAAGGGGGTCACCCTGGTAAAATTGAATTGAATAAAATGACCAATATGTTTTATCTTATGTAATATTCAATATATGCGGTTGATAAAGTACATTGTTTATTTTTTTATTTATTTTCCTATTTGAAATAGGTAATAAAATGACTACTTTCTGCTTTTAATCTTTAAAGAAGCCCCCCCCCCCCTCCCCAGGAGACCACAAAACCTTTGAAGAGAGAATAATTAATAAAAAAAAAATTGTCGTTTCGCAGAGAAAGATGTTTTGAAAATAAATTTCCGTTTTCAATTATATTCTATAGTTAAAAACTTCCTCAAATTAAAGATGTATATCTCTGTGTGTTATAATGCAGGCACGTAGCATCGTTTTTGAAAGTGGGTGGGGGGCAACCAGAGAAATTTTTTTTTACTTACCTGAAAAAGTTGACAAGGAAAAAAAAAAGGGAAATAGCCCAAACTCGAAAATCCTATTTCGTGTGTGTGTGTGTGGGGGGGGGGGGGCTAACTTTTTTTTTAGGCCAACTACCTTTTAACTTGCATTTTTCCCCACACAATACTACATATATCCTTGATATCATTATACTATGGTAAGAAGTGGGGGGGGCAACCATCCTTTCAATATACATTTTCAATAGTAAAGGTAATGTTGGGAAAAATAAGGGGGGCAGGCCCCCCTGCCCCCCCCCCCCGTTGCTACGTCCCTGTAATGTTTCACATGCATAGATCTGGGGGGTGACATTTAAAATTTGTACAGTCATGCGTTAAATAAACTAAACGAACTACCGGTATAGCTGACCTTGGACCCTCCACTTAGAAAACGCCGATCAAACATTTATATCTCTTTGTTTGTACAAATAAAATAATTATGTTTTACATGCATAGATCGAGAGAGAGGGTCCGGAACACCCCTCTGAAATTTGTAAAGTTATTTAATGCACAAACTAAACCAACTAAAAGTTATTTAATGTATAAAATAGATCAACTACATGTAAAAGGGACCTTAGACCCCCCCCCCCCCTTCCCAACCGAAAATGTGGATTCGTGTTAAGTTGGTATGAAAAATGTCATACACATGAAGGTATGACGCATAAGAACCCCCTCTCCCCGGCCGAAATAAATTTTCACATTTAGGAAAGGACTTTACGTATTTTTTTCTTGTCAAGAAATTTCTGGGTTGAATTTTTTTTTTAACCAGAGTGACCCCCTTGGAAAAATTGTCCTATAGATCAGCGCCTTTTTTTCAAATTTATATAAATATCAATATAAAAATAAAATTTATTCAAATATGTGTGGCAGTTGGCAGTAAGCAGCTGACAGTTGGCAGTAAGCAGTCAGCAGTTGGCAGTAAGCAGTTGGCTGTCGTATATGGCATTCCATACCTCTTCGCATATGTTTGTTTTTTTTTTTTTTTTTTTTTTTTTTTTTAAAACCACATACAGCATTGTGATAACCTGACTAGGGAAGCAGCGCTTTATGATGGTTTCTAACATGATTTTAATAGGTATGATACTAAATATTATTTTCATACTCGCCTCTTATTTTAAATTTTATGTTGTTTAATGAATTATTATACTCTTTCTGTTCTCTGTGTTGAAACACCTGTACATGTAATGTTATATTGTTGTTCATAAAATCAGTATTAGAAATTTTAAATTTTCTTGGTGAAATTTATAGCAGAGGGTCGGAATCCCTTAACTGAATTTAAAATATGGATTAAAATCCACATTTTTATTATTTAGTTTTCTGAAAGAAAGTTTTAAAAACCAGACTGCATGCATGTGATTGTTTTTGATTCACAAATCTTTAATATTTGCTATTTTTACTTAGTGTTCTCTTTGATGTGAATCAAAATTATATCGAAGCACATCTTCCCAAGTCAAGAGTTTCTGATCCACTCCGCTCCGCCCCGTTTATGTGGAGCGTAATCGGGATCAGAAACTCTTGACTTGGGAAGATGATCGAAGCACAGTTTGACAAACTTATACATATTGCTTATTTTTGTTAATTGAACAACTAGTTTGGGTATGCGAAAACGTTTAGAAAAAATGAGCACCCCTCTTTAACTGATAAGTGCATGGATTTTTTTCTTTTGCAAGGAATGAACAAAAAATAACTGCACTCTTTTGCACTAGAACATAATACTATGTCCGTCAAAAAATACGTCCAATTTCATTTTACACGGTTTTATTGAAATTTTTTTTCTAATTCTTATTCATTTGAAAAAGAAACTGTATGGAATATATGTATATTTTTATCTTACATTTTTGGGGTATGATCGATCTCTAAATGAATCTATATCAATATGTCAGTTATTATGTCGAGCGATTCAATCATTGCGATGAATTAAGTTCTCATCAAACAACGGTTACTTTTGCTGAAATTTATATCGGAAACTGATTTGAGCATACTATGCAAAACATCCAGTGAAAATTTTATGTTGAATGAAGTTCTTTCATTTACAAGCTAATCAATTCTTCTTTTAAATAAAGATAAACAATGAATTGCATTGCACTGATTAACGTACTGTCTATTCAAAACAAACGTGGTAAATATTTAATTCAACAACAACTTTGTGAAAATTGTGTTAAAAACGTACGCTGTTTCCATCCTAGTGTTCTTCATTAAAATAAATATATACAGACTAAACGGAACACGTTTGTCAATAATTACTCGATAGATTTGATAAGATTGTTCTCTTACTATATGCATTTAGAATTTAGAAATGATCATATCGATACTTTATAATAAAATTACATTTTGTTTCTTTGTTGCACTTGCCCGGGTAGTCAAAACAGTGTAAATTCAAACGTTTGACTTATGAGTTTACGTTTAGAGTCTCAATCAAGCAAAGCACCAATATGCTTTGTATAACAATCAACGCAATTTTCAATCCTGCCCTGTGGCAACGCACTTTGAAAAAATTACGCACTTTGAAAAAAAATTTCAAAGTGCGTTAAAATTGGGACAAAATCAACGCACTTTGAAATTTTTTTCAAAGTGCGTTA